CAGCAGGAAGAGATGGCAAGATGGCTCATTTCTTTAAAGCTGCTGTAGTAACCAGGAAAGTACTCACAGCTAACATCAGGTGATGGTAGCTTTCCTCTTGGGCGGATGCCATTTTCTGTGAACCCACTATTACCACCCCCACTACTTTCTCCCACTTGATTTACACCTCAGCTCTAGAGCAAATACGCAGTTCCACTGACAGTCAGAGGTCAATAGCCAGAGACATTCTTCTCCCAATAAGCAAAACTGTCTACTCCCCAAAAAAACAAAGAAGTCTACACATAGAGTTTTTATGTCCTTTTTGCTTTTAAGACCAGCTAGTTTTACCTTTATTTAGATCTACAAAAAGCATGCTAGCTTGGAAAAAGCCATTCTTTAGCAGTATCTTAACTCAATATTTAAGGCAGTAAACTGTGCACTATAGAGTGTTAGAGTACCATTTTTACAAAGAACTTTAAAGATTTCTTACTTGTTGTCCTTGAAGACATCCATTAAGAAATTCTGATTAATAGTTGGAAACATCTCAAAAAGTTGCTTCTCCTTTAGTTTAGCGGCACAGTCTTTTCTAGCCATAGAAGGAACCCGACTCTACCCAGAAGACAAAGGAAAAATATTACAAGTTCTTGATTAGAACAAAATATAGTAAAAGCAGAGTCAACCCAACTTTACTGTCCAACTTTTGTTAAGACTTCAAAAAATATCTACTCACTAGCTATGCACCCACAGCAGTGACAACATGCCAATACCAGCCTGCCACACTGATTTGATGAGAATGAAGTAGGGACAGGTGAGTTGTATTACACACCACTGCAGTACTCTGCAGTCATTTGAAGTGGAGCTCCCTCATAACTCGGACAAAGTAAACCGAGGATTTTTTAGGAGAAATTTAAGTTTTGGAATGCATTCCCTGCTAGTCTATTTAGTCCAATGCTAAGCTTGTGCGAAGTCCACCTCTCTACTCTATATTGAGGGCCTGGGGTTGAAACAGCATTTTATTATTAAACAGTGTAAACAATTTTGTTTTGGTGCATCTGAAGCTGTACTGTAATAAATATTCATATTTGTGAAGTCAAGCTGAGAAGAAAACATAATTATAGCCCAGAATAAATTGGACTGAGCATTCCAATACTAGATTAAGAAAAAAAAAAAAAAGCGGTCAAAACAAAGCCAAGCTCCTTGAATCCAAGCTGAAAATAAAGCTGCGAACATCACAGTTGTTATTATCAGTAAGCCACAAACATGCAGTTCAAAGAAAGAATCCACAAGCCATTCTTTCAAAGTACAGGCTAATCCATCCAACCTTCTATACCAGTAGAAGCAAAGCTCCTCTTTTTTAGGACAGCTACTTATCAGAGACAATTACAAATAAAAATGCCTGTTCTGAACAACTGCCGGGCAGTAGAGGGCAGTATTACGCACATGCCAACCAGACAGGGTATGGGAACCGTGTGGAAGACAGAGAATTAACAGTAATTTTTAAAAAAGATTTTTATTTTCTGACAAGTGGGTACAGAAACCTGCGAGATTAACCTCAAGTACTTCTTTTAATATCTCATCTGTTAGGAATGTTGTGGGTTCTCCTTGCAAAAAATATTAAAATCAATTCAATCCACTTCTACATAAACGAGGCACAGAGCTAATTAAGAAATTTTTTTTATATCGCTTTCCCAATAAAAGTGTGGGAAATCACACTGATCTTTTTTTTCAGGTGAGCAATCAAAAAAAAAAAAAACCAACATTCAACCAAACACAAATGCTAACCTGTAGAGTGAAATGCACCATGATCTGTTTGTGAAACAATCAAAATATTACATTTTTAAATGAGATTTGTTTTTTTAAACCAGAAACATCTACCACAAGCAAAGTCCTGTATCACAGTAATCAACAATACTAATTGGCATGCATTTGTCTTACGAATTCAGGCTGTAATCAGCAGCACAAAGGTGAGTCACCAGATAAGACATATTCTGCTTCATTAATAGCAACGAATTTAAACCGGGTAAAAAACTGATGCTATCCATACCAGGTCCTGTTTCTCCTGCATAGCTATTTCTTCAGAAATTATTTGTCTGAGAGAAACTTTCTGAATCTGAGCATTCCAGTGATCCATAAAAGGAAAAACGTCTGATGTTGCTGGTTTTTTAGTCTGTACGTCATCAGAGGAGCCTGAAACCCAGCTCATTTTTTTCTTCTGTATTTTACTGTCTGCATTCTGAGATAACAGCATTTCTGAGTCATCTGTATCTATCTGCTGAATCACAGTAGGACCTTCAAAAGCAATAAAAATGAGGTGACAAATAAAACAATTATTAGCTTATTTACACAAGCAAAGCCAAAATAATTAAGGTAAGTTTTTCAGCCTAGATGTTTTGGGTTTTGTTATAACAATATTATTAATGCTAAAACAGAAAACAACACGTTGTTTTCACCTTCATCACTTCTATTTTCCAAGGACTGTCCGATCATCTTTATCTATTTTGTAAAACAAAAGCAAAACCATCAGACTCCCTCACCAAATTTTCAGGTGCCAAGATGTATCTTACGGCTGTAAACTACCTTGCACATACGTTAAGCGGGAAGGTTCGTTTGCTTTTATAAGAAAATTATTGATTCATGTGTTTACAGGTTTACCTGCCTTTCCTCTACAACTTCAGGAGAGATGCTTAACAATCTGGTTTTACACTTCTATGAGTTAATGCTAACAGTGCTGTTTGGTCATTCAAGTGGAGAGTTTGCACCCACATTGCAATCCAAGTCTTCACCCAGGTCCCATGCAAGAGTAGTGGGGTTCTGCTGTAGAGGGACATTTCTTCTGTGAGCTGAATGAAAACTAGATTGCTACAGATTTTAACACTTTTTGAACAAGGACATACATCCTCCTGCTACAATCAATTCCTCTGACAAGGACAACAACATGTGAATGTTGTATTCCTCACCTCCTTCCCTCACCTGCAGAAATCTTATTCTGCTAGTAATTCTCTGGCCGCACCTTTTCCTGCCACAGAGATTACAGAAGTCCTATCAAACAGCTGGCTGATCCAGCCAGAGCTTCTGTTTAAGTTCTCTGAAGTACACAAAAGGATAGGCTTTTTGCTTGCATCTACCTGGGACTAGTGATTCTGCTTATAATTAACTTCTTTTTCCCCCCTCACCTCCATAAGAAAATGGTAAATAGAACCAAGGGCAATAAATAAAAGCTTAGCTCAATAAATGAATCCATCATCTTCAATAGACGAATATTTGCAACCTTACTGAAGTTTCAAAGAATTAAATATTTTTATAATGAGAATTAAGTATTTTTACAATTAAGAGAAATACATAACATACCTTCTGCAGACAACTTACATGATTCATCTCTCCTCTGACGCTTCTAAATAAAAATAGTAAAACCATGAATATTATAAGTAAGCTATAAATTTTGCAGTAAAACTTCACAAGTGTTATCTTCTAAGTAAAGCAGCTTCAAAATAATGTCTCACAGTATTTCTCAAAGATTGGGTATTTTAAAAGAAATACATTTAAGAAAAATAATTATGAAGTGAAGTTTAAAAGATAGAACTCTTTCCAAAAACACATCAAACTAGAGGAACATGCCTCACTAAGATTTCACAACCTTAAGTAAATAAACCAAACAAAAATTTTGCCAAAAAGCATTCCGAGTTTCATAAGGCTATGAAGGAATGGAGGTTAGAGAACTCTTCTCAACTAATGTACATGGAGATGTTTTGTATACACAATTATTCATAAAAGAACTCTTCTTACATGTCAAAAAGCCAGTAATGATTTTTGGCCAGTTTGAAATTGTAGTGATATTGTGCATTGTGATCCTTCTTTTTTAAGAATCTTGGTTTTGTGATGAGGCATTCATGACATGCTGTTTCTTTATCCCTTAAACTGTCTTTCAACAGCTCTGATGATTATGACATGCTGATATACTCCATATATTTTACAAACTACTATTGTATTTTATCATTGTTCTCACAAATATATCTTACACATTTAGACCAACGCATCAGGAGACAAATGGTCTGACAAAGCACAAGCATGCCATACCATATCATAAGCAAGAAATCTACTAACCAGAATAGATTCTTTCCATTTTTCATGAATCACTCTTGCCAAATTCAAATCAATATGAACCACACAATCCTCAACAGTTAGTGATCCTTATGGAAGAAAGAAAATATATTCATTAAAGCATTCTGTAAAAACTTATCTAAGCAATTAAAGTACAGTAGCCTAGACTTATTAATTTAAATTCTGGAGATTCTGCACAAACTGTCATTCCTGAAAAAAAACTTCAGTAACTGCCAAGTTAAAAAAAAAAAAAAAAAAAAAAAAAAAAGGCATTCTACACAGAATTAATTATCTGGTGTTCAAAAACTCAAAAAGGGTAGGAAAAAACAAGTTAACATTCATTGTATCTTGTTGAAATACGACTACCTGAACAACTCCTTTTTTTCATTTTTCTAGCAGAACCTTCTTTTACAAAGCCACTGTTAATTTACAACCGCAGTTTCATTCGTGAAACTGTGATTCCCCCTAATTTATTGCAATCCACAGGCAACTGCGTTAACGTAACACAACATACTTGCCGCTGGCCAACAGCAGTCACATCCCTCCTTTCAAACACACAAACTCAGAGAAGCAAACCCCAAGTATCCCCTCTAACTCTAAAGGAAATGGCAGGAATTCTCATGGTATCATAACGATACATCTTTTCCCTAAAAGATGTTTCCGATATTGTTTCAAAAGTAAAAGGGCAAGTAGTACATATGTATCAAATAAAAAGGCAGGGCATATTTCAGACACAATAAAACACCTTTCTGCTATCAAAACCAAACTTTTTTTGTAGGAGGAGGTAGGCATGGAAGGCTAAGGGGACAGCAGTGAAACCCACCAATAAATCAGGTATCCAGGGTTTCACATCAAGTAATCTTCAGGAGAAAAGAGAGAAAAAGGAAGACAAAAAAGAAAAAGGAAGACAAAAAAGAAAAAACAAACAAGCTATATATTCCTTGTGTTTCTTTTCTTCCTTTTTCTATCAGTCTCTAACTTTTGAGATGCATGTTCAAGCTGCTTATGGCTTCCTTTATCATAGTCTCTCAGCAGACTAGGCTGTTTTCATCTTTTAAGTATAGCCGCACTTTATCTTCTCTCTAAACCATTCATCTTCTCCTTCCGCAATTTAACTTATGCCTAAAGCTTTCTTTCTTTTTATTTTTTCCTAACCAGTCATAATTTGCATGTTCCTCATCATCTTAATATCCCTTCATAGGTTGAATACAGGCTCAAAGGCCTGTTGCTAAAAATGCAAATAAGCCAGTATATTTTCTTATGCTTTTAAAGTACACGCATATACAAAAAGACAAAGGCAGAAGGTAGCACTACTGCATTTATATTTTTTGCCATGCTTAGTTCAGTTCCATTTTTGGATTAACAAAAGCAAACAACAGTATCACAAGGAATTGTGCAAATCTGTTCCCTAAAAATCAAGCATGAAGGGAAAAAAGCACAGGCAAAGGAAGTGAGGTTTCTTATCCAAACTGAGTTTTTTCATAAAAATATGGATATAATTATGCCCATACCTGCATCAATGCCAACAGGCCCGAATATTTCTTTCAACTGGAGTGCCAGTTCAGGAGGTAATGTTAGTTCTAGGCAATCTATATTGAAGGCTGCACGTGATGCTGGTATAGGGCTTTGCATCTTTCCTTTAGTTTCATCCCAGCTTGGAGTTTCCATTTCTTCTTCACAACATATCTCCCTGGAACTCCCCTGGGTTTCTTTATCTGTCCCTAGTTCTTTATCACTCCTAGGACCCCCCAGAGGTGCGTGATCCCTTTCCAGTAACGAAGCAGTCACTTTGCAATTCTCTGCATTGCTTTCTGAAGGGTTACTGTCACTTTCGTTACTTAATTCAAATTTCCGATTGGTAGAAGTTGTGTTAGGACCATGAGGCAAAGTCATGGGTATATATAAACCTGCATCAAGCTGTGAGACTGATGGCTTATCTATAGTTTCTTCAACAGGTCTCTCAGACTCTATCTTCTGCTTTCCTGAACCGGATGGCTCAATGATACCTGCTGCCAAGCTGCCTGCGTCAGTTCTAGGGGCTGCATCTCCAGAATTTTTCAGTTCTGCTGAACGATTCAATGAGGTAGCAGTCAACGAATCAGACACATCAGCATCTGTCACAGTTGCCTTGGTAGCCCTACTTTCTGCAATGCTGAGCGATGAGCTCTTGTCTTCTGAAGGCTCAGAGATATCACCAGCCCCAATTATTTGCAGCATTTGTTCACAGTCTTTGAGGTTCTCACCATAGTTTGTACTTGCCTTGAAATCAAAGCCTGCAACAACTGGCTCACCTTCTCTTACTTGAAAGCATTCAGTATCAACATCTTTCCATAACTTTTCATCAGAGTCTAACAGCAGAGCTGTGGCCCAGTCTATGTCTTTGTTACATCTTTCATACAGATCTTTCAGAGCTTCAACTGAAACAGACTCAAAGAGCTTACATAGCATATTTAGCTTTTCAGACTCATCAATACTGGTAAGTTCACTTTCTTCCACAAATGTACTTTTATCATATGTAGCTCGATAGGGTATTTTTTCTTGAGAATCTGAGGCATTATCTACGTCTTTGGGTTTGAAGCCATCTAGTCTGCCATGCAACACTTTGGTAGTCTCAGGAAAAAGCATTCTCTTTTCTAATCTCCACAAGAGAGCAAAGTCCTGTGATTCAGTCTGTGAATGGCTACTTTTTTGTCTACATGAACATGTGTCATGTTTCTCTTCTGCTGCGTTAAGCATAGACAAGTGTTCCACTTCTTTGGGATGGGGCAAATTGTTGTTTGTAAAAGTGAGGGCTAATTTGTGATGTTTCCTCATTCTCTTACTTTGCTGGGTTTTTTTCTCACCTACTGTTTCACTAGCTACTGTTTCAGGTTGGTGCATATGCAAACTCTTTGCATCCGTTGGCTCTGCAGTGTTCACAGGTGTCCCACGGAGCACATCTACGGTCTCAAGAGCATTTCTATTAATGTCACCTTCAGTATTTCTGCCTTCATCGGACTGATTTAGACTTGTCTTTCTCATTCTCCTTGATCTTTGTTGCCTCTGTTCTAATGAGCCTGAGACAGGCCAATGTCCCATCATTTGCAATTCCGGTGTGACTTTATCTGAACTAACAGAGGAACAGCTAGAGGCTAGATTTTCTTCTTCATGTCCTTTTTCAACAGTACAGGTCCCAGGCAGGCCTGCTTGCTCTTTACCTAACTCAGGATGCTGCTGACTGTGAGTTTTACCTTCCGTATCACTCTTCAGAGAAGATTTTTCTAGTCTTCTAGCTCTTTTGACTCTCTGTCCCATTGTTTGTTCTACAGGCCAGTCACCCAGAAAGTTTAGCAGTTCTGGTTTTCCTGATGTGTCAAAAGCTGAACTGCTTCGTTCCTCTATGTTACTACTTTGTGTTGATTTTGGTTCCGTACATATTTCGCCAGATTGTTCAGCTTCAGTTTGAACTTTGAGAATGTTGTTATCACTGTGTTCCTCAACTCCTCCTGTATGCAAGCACACAGTCTCTTCAGTCGTGGTCACATCAACTTCATCCATTTCTGTTTTAGTATTTTTTTCTACTTTTTCTCCCTTTTCTTCTTTCTTCTCCAAGGGCAGTTCTTTTTCTACACAATCTGATAAACAAACATCCAAGTCATCTTGAACAGCACTGTTCTCAGAACTGTGTTCCACCGAGTTATTTTCCATTTCTTTTTCCTCTTTCTGAAAATATTCAGGATCACAGTTACTTTCTAAAGTTAGAGAAGTACTGGGAAAAGTTTTATCATCTTCAGCTAATTCAAGAGGCTCCACATCAGAAGCAAAAGGTTCTTTGTCCTTTACATCAGAAGGTGCCTCTCTCTTTCTGAAAGACAAATTGGAATGAAAGATAAACCTATTTCAAACCTTCTCTAAGCACTTGTCCATATTTTTAATTTTGTCTTGGCTATTTAGTATTTTCAAATTGCAGACCAGAAACCACCTTTTAGGACACTAATCATCCAGCTGGAGAACTCTAGTGAGAGGAAAACAAATTTAAGATGACTTACCCATAACCTCAACACTCCTTTATAAAAAAGAAGGAGCTAAGCAAAGCAAAACTTTCCTTGGTAAGCATCCCTTTTTTACTTCAGCATGAGACTAAGAATACTTTCTCAGGAGTCTATTTTTCCCCATTCCCAGCATTCAGGTATGTACTGAAGCACTCTGCTGCCAGACATTTACTCCTTCGGAGCAGCAAACCTGGTAAATATGCTTTTATTTAATGACTGTTGCTCTTTCCTGATGGCTCAATGCTAAAGAAAGTCTAGAAGTTAACCAGGAGAGGACGTGCCATTTTGTGTCATAACATTTTTCACAATCAACTACATTTCATTAATTATCAGTGCCCACTTCATTTCAAATACATTAAGCATACAAAGACCAAATGAAATAACTACAATAAGAAATGATTCCCTATGCATTGTTATAATGCATATACAGCATTATTCAGATCAGCCACTACAAAAAAAAATAGTTGTGTATACAACCAACATATATCTAGACAAGTCTAAATTAAATATACTCGAGCAAGTAAATAACTCGTTACTACTGCACAAAGAATCCACCTTCTACCGCAAAGACATCGTCTAATACCAACACACAGACTCAGAATAGTAATTTGCTCGTACTTGGGACTACATTCTTCTGAAAAGCATTTTATAGATTTTAAGTGTTTTGTATCTACAACATACATCCAACAGCACATTTCTAAGCTAAGAGAAAGTCAATCAAGATTGGCTTATTGAAAAGTAACACACAGCCATACTGGGGGGGGTTTCAAAAAGCATCAGAAAGCTGACTAGATCCCTTGACTGCTCATCTTTAGAAATCCTGAAATTCTTAAAAATTAAGAAAACTACGCAGTGTATTTCTTTTTATTATTTAACTAAATTTTTAACGCATTCACTGTTCAACAGTATTATCCAGGTTCCATTGCTATGAAGTTTGAATTTTTAGCCTTTTATTTGAGACTACAAAGCTAGTAAAAGAATCTAACCTATGGCCTTCATCCTGACAAGAATCTTCACTCCAGCCAGAAGCTTCTGATTTGTCTGGGACTGAAGAATCCAATATTGAACGAACAGTAAGGCAGTGTTCATACCGTTCCAACATTCTTTTAATTTTTTCTTTAGATACACCGTGAATGTTTCGTCTATGAATTAAAAAAAAAAAAATTGAAAAAGAAACATTTCAGATTAGTATATTAAATTATTCTCTTCTGCCATTGTAATAATTTAATAAGTTTACAGCAAGACTAACCACAGAATTCAGCGGGCCGAGGCAAAAGCTGTGAAACAGCAATTCTTTCTGTATCAGTGCACTAAGGCATTCCAAACAGGGAATCTCAGACAAATCGCGGCTCTGCTTGACTTCTCCACCCCACTTGGTGGCCCTGTTCTGCAACAGGATGTTTTGCTTAATACTAAAATCTAAAACTGTACCAATAATGCATCTTCTTCAAGTAAGCATCAGAAACACACCATATCAGATCCTGACAGTGATGCAGGATATCAAACTGGGTACGGAAAATTTCTGAATTCAGTCTTCCTTCTCTGGTTTTGCTGAACTAAGAACTCCTTGAGTCTTGAAGAAAACCCATTCACTTATTATTTTGGAAACCCTTTGGCTAGGAATTTTCCATGACTCTGTAGAACACCAATTGGCAATGTGCTTTGCAGCAGTTCCACCTAGAACAAGTGAATCTCGTCAAGGATGGCAAAACAGAAACTGAAGGTACAGGAGAAAATGTTTAAGTTCTACTTTAGGAAAGAAAATAATCTTCCTTATCTCACTTGAGAAGTGGCCAACCTTAAGCTAAGCATGCAAATTCAGATGACAACAGATACTATGAAATCACAAAATAATTTACGTTGAAAGGGACCTCTGGAGGTCACATAGTCCAACCTCCTACTCAGAGGAGGTACAGCTAGATCAGGTTGCACAGAGCTTTGCCTTGTCAAATTCCAAATATCCCTAACGACTGAAAGTCTACAAACTCTCTGGGCAAGTGCCTGACCACCCTTTCAAAGTAAGTTTTGGGTTTTTTTTCTTTTATGTAATGAAAATTTCCCAAGTTCCAACTTGCTTATGTTTATTTTGTCCTATCCCTGCACAATTCTCAGAAGAGATCTTTTTAGTCTTGTCGATAACCTCCCAAAAGGTAGCTGAAGACAACAATACAATCCTTCCTTAATCCTTCCTTAACTTTCTCTTCTTAAGGCCGAACAAACTACTCTTGCTCAATTCAGTATCATCTGCAAATCTGCTGAGAGTGCACTCTGTCCCAACATCCAAGTCATAAAAAGGACTTGAAATAGTAGTGGCCCTAGTATTCATGATAGAGGGACATCAGCCTCCTCTTGGACTTTGAACCACTGATCATACCCTAATGAACCTGGGACCCGGTCAATTTTCTAGCTACCTTATTATTCACTACATAGGGTTTACATCTTGCCTATTTTGTCTGTAATGTAATGTAATGGCTCCATGACTGTGTGGAAGGCCCTGCTAAAGAAGAGGTAAACAACAGTGGTGATGCACAGGGGTTTGTCCCCCTCAGGCCATGAGGTGCTGATTGCCTTAAACTCAGTGACAGCAGAAACATCTCAAGTAAGGCAACAGACCAGCCAGATGAAGAACAGCCCCAACCTGACATCATTTTTGCAACCTCAGGAACCCGAAGGAGCAGTCACTGTACCTTAAATGCAAAAGAATTGCAATCATGAAAACATTACATAATATCTATTGCTATTAACAATAGATAGCAATAGATATTATGTAATGTTTTCATGATTGCAATTGTATGTAATTAGAATAAAATGACAGAAAAAAAAAAATCTCATTATACATATAAAATCCCACAGAAGTTAATATTGTAGGAAAAAAATTATTAAAAAGCTACTTATTCTTGCAAAAATCTTGACTGATATCTTGCTACTTCACCAGCCACTGTACCAAGCGATACCTTTTTCAAAATCATAGTTCATAGACTGTGAAAGATATACAATCTAACATGAAATTTTCCTTTACATTCTTACCTTTCAAGTTCTTTTGGTTTAAACTTCCACCAAGTGTCTGGTTCTCGGAACATGACTTTGTATTTGAACTGCAAAGCCTGAATAAAACAGACATAAAACCAGAACAAGCCACATCACCCATTTCTTATTTCTATGAAAAAGCACACATGTATAGCCTGCTTCTTTAAAGATGTTTTTTGTATTTTTCGAAACCAATTAAACATTTGGAATAACATACTTTTGTTCAGTGTTTCACTTCTGATTATATAAGCAGAGTTTTTTAAAAACATGTATATGCATCTCTTACTGTAAAATTAAATGTATGCCATAATCACAGGAAAAAAAAAAAAAATCACTATTTTATATCATCCCTTTAAATGTTCTACCTCCTCTGAGTCAAGACTGCAGAACATCTCCTCTTTCCAGGTACAGTATACACATGTCTACACAGCCTCTCCAAGACAGAGAACAGGTCACTGCTTACGTTCAGAGCTGCTCAGAGCTGACCAGATGCGAGCCAGTTCCAAAACAAGCAATTCAGTTACATTAACACAGCTACTGTGGACAGCCTTCCTGCTATATGGGGAACTTGAGTGAGTTGCAAGTCAATGGTCCTTACATGGTCTAGTCTCATCGTGACAGAAAAGGAGCCTAAAGTCTAATCAGGAGAAACACTGTGAATACTGTGCCATTTCTCCCCGTTCCTGTTCCCAGAAAAAATTCTTATCACCTTACCAAACCCTGCACTTCCTGGAAGAACTTTTGTTGTACCTTTATTTCAGCACACAGCAAAATCAAGGACTTCATTTATGAAAGAACTGTTAATCTGACAATTGTTAATAAATGCAAGGACAATAAAATATTTTTTTATTAATAAAAATTATCTGTGTTACTGTTCACTAATCCATTACCACATGCAGCATATGTAGAGTATCTGCTCAAAAGCTGTCAGTTCTACATAGTACACTCTCTGATGTGTTTCTGTACCATGGTACGAGAAATCCCATTAAAAATTATTAAAGCTACCAACCAAAATGACAAATGATCAACAGCAAAATAAGGGCTAGAGTCTAAAAGTGCTGATGCCCATGTAGAAACGATTAAGCAAAGGTGAGAAGTTCCACGAAACTGGAGTATGAGAAACCTGTAACAGAGTTCACCAAGTTATTTAAATCATTAAACATAACTTTGGAAGTTAAATGTAGATTGCATTTACTTAGTACTAAATAAAAGCTGGAAAAGCTGGTCGCTTTTAGTCACTAAGTAAAAGCACCACACTACTAACACAAAATAGTGCAGGTGCATTACTTTGATTACATCATTTCAATAAAAATTATTAAGTAAATCTGCATAACTTCAAGTAAGCTAGCAACATTTGATAACTCTAGCCCTCCAACTGGTCAGCTGGTGTCTGCCTCTATGTCATATTTAGGATGAAACTCAGACCGAGTTTTCAAGTTTCATGGAGCATCAAACATCACTCGTATTAACTAGTGCCAACTATATTTTTAAAGTAGCTTAATTTAATTAGTTAATTTTACTGATCATATAAAAGAGGAACAGAATTCGGTTTCCTCAACAATATTTATTTTTGCTCCCAAGTACAAAGCACTTGGCTTTGTCACTTGGAAACTAGGCCAGGTCAATACTCAGACGTGCACAGAATATGACGCTGGGTAATATGACTCCATGTAACACTTTTTTTTTAACTCCAGACTTCCTTGTCGAATAACAGCTAGACTGAGAAAGACAATCTCATTTTAAAACATATGTTGCTGCCATGCTGGTCAACAATCCCTTTTCACATTGATCAAATTGTAATACTAACCAAAGTAACATAAGGCTTCATCTCCCATGCTTGTATGTTTGTGTTGTCTATTATTATAGGAGAGAGTCTCCTTTCAAATGCTTCTTTGGCTGAAAGACACACGTGTACAAAAGAATGTGATATAGTTATTTTCGTTTTAATAGAGTGGACATGTAACATTTATACTAATTCTCTAAATTTGTAATATTTTTTTAAAGCAGATAATCCACAATGATCAACCACTGTGTAAAGAACTCTTGCCACAGCTTGATCTGTTTCAAGGCCCTCTTTTATTTTAGAAATCCCCCCCTCACATGTAAAGCTACTGAGATATGGCATTATTTTTTTGAATTAACGTATGTATGATAATCAAGGAATGAAAATGCAGATGTAAAATGCACCAAGATGACTAATCAATCAGTAAATTAAACTAAAAAAACTACATGATCACCTTAAAGTGGACTTCTTTGTTGCATACAAAATTCTTGGCTTTATAACAGTCTTAAGATTAGTCCACTCTGTGAACTGTATAAAATATGAAAAATCAAAAGAATTATTGTAATTTAAATACACAGTAATGAAATGTTTAGAATCACTAGCTTTGAGATACAGAACCGTGTTTTTGTAGCTATGTTACAATGCGTCTGAACAAAGTTATTGTTGAATCACACATTTCTTATTAACCCATTTCTCCACTGCTTAGAAATTTGACAGTAGAAAAGTGATCATGGTTCAAATTTAGCAAATAAAAGTTTAAAAAGAGTTGTTCTACGGTGAGCTTAGCAGGAGCCACTATCAAAAAATACACCGATTTTTAAATAGATTTTAAAAAATATTAAATTGATTTTAAAAAATCATTTATTCTGTCTTGCTCCCATAATTTTGTTTTAAATTTGCCAACAATTTAGTGCTCAAGAGAAAAAATAATGAAGAGCAGGAAAATATCTACAAAAGTGTTATTTGTATCAACATCCTCATTACTTATTGCCTATGCATATATAATGGCTCATCTCAGAAGAAATATTTCTGGGAGATGGTACAGATCACCACTCCAGAAATGGGACACAACCCAAAATACATACCATGACGAAATCTGAGGACAAAACAATCTTTTGACAAAGACACTGGCATTTTTAATTGCAAAACACATAATGGACAGATGACTTCTGCGTTTGTGCTCATATTATTTTTCCGCACACGTATTAAAAAATACTTCTATGATGGGATAAATGCTTGTCCTGTGACACAGGCATTACAAGACGGGCAGCTTTTTAAACAGCACACAAGCATTGAACTGTAAACAAGCAAGCTAATCCCTTATTTATTTCTCACCTCGTTTCCTGTTCCAGTCATGTGCTTCCCCTAAGCAATTGGGATCACAATGGTATTGTCCATGCTTATAAAAGTAATCATCAGTACTAAGAATGATTCCACCTGGGTTATCCTCAAGCAAAGTCCTGTGAAAGATCAAGAAGTAAATAGCTTTTCCCCCTTCTCCTCCCCAGCCCTGATATCTGCTACCATACATACATATATTTAAACTCTTGCACAAAACCAAGATTACTTGGAATGGAATCAGCAAATTTAGGTAGGGGGAAAAAAAAAAAAATCACCCTCTAGGCAAAGATGATCTATAATAATTTCACACCGTTTCCAAAGGCTGAGGATATCTAGGGGAAAGAGCTGACGGAGGTTCCCTTTGAGGTCTCATTTCAAAACAAGGGAGGTGTTTTTCCATCTATACCGAGCGACATACTTTCACACTGACAAATACACATACAGTCTTAATTGCATGAAATATTTCAGATGCCAGCCAAAGGAGTCTAAGCTCAATCTAGGCTTTTTGGAGAGTTAGAAAAGAAATTAAGAATTCAACCCAAGAAGCTCCACATGTACTACTTACACAAAGGAATTCCAACAGTGGAAGGGGAATTTCTGCCTATAAAGAGCTGGCATATTTCCACCCATGTTATTGGAATGAAACACCTGAAATGAACAGGGACTGGAAGAACACAGCAGACCTAATACTACTGCAGTGATCCTCTGCTGACATAAACTCCTTTGGCCAGCGACAGAAGTTAAAGCTAACCCCTCCTATTTCAATTTCCACTAGGCATCATGGAGCTGCAAACAATTCAGCTCTCTGCAATTATTACTACTCATCACGCTACACTGCCATGTAGCTGGCAATTAGGGTATAAGCATAACTATTTACAAATATCAAAAAATTGTCTCTGCCTGCACTAAATCCTGTACACAATTAAGCAATTTCTTTTAGAAGCTCACAATATAGATGTTCTACCTTGCCAAATACGATTTTCCTGATCCTGGAACACCTCTGAGAAGAACAAGTACTTGACCTATAAGGTGCATCTTTTTTCTCATCATGTGACAAACAGGTGGCTGCTGTGCTTGCGAGAGGTTCAATTTTGAGTTTCTATCTTGATTTCCCCATACCTTCAGAGAAGGGTTGCTATCCCAGGCATTTGAAACCACTGGAGAGGAAAAAAAAAGTCCTTTTTCCACAGTCCTATAGTCTGAAACAGGTCTCCACTGCCCTGGACTGACAGCCACAGGAGTTACAAAGCTGTGACTTCCACTGGATGGATAAAACACGGGAGCCATGAGATTCCAGTGCTGTTGAGGTTGACTTGACGGTGTAGAAAAATTTAAGTTATAACCCTGCTGAGTTTGCTGAAAATCTGCAGGTTTGGGTGTTTTGAAACTGGATGTTTCAAGAGAGACATAGGCCTCTGGAAGAGAAGTGCTCTGGTGGCTGTTAAAGGCAGGCACCACCTCTTCATGCTGTTCCAGGCACCCTGAATTAGGATCTCCAGTGACAGCTACTCCAGGTTCCAGAGGTCTTTGGGATGACTCACCAGAAGCAGCAGTCACACTTATTTGATCCAAAACAGTATCTTGTGTCTGTTCAGAATTTCCACATATTTCTCCATTCAATTGTTTATAAACTTCTGAAGCTACATCATGTTGCATATGTATTTCTGACAGATCAGAATCTTCCAATATCTGTGCAAAAGTGTCTGATGCAGCTGGTGAGCTTGTCTGGATGCTCAGGTGACTCACTGGTGGCTGAGAACAGCAGAAGCTTTCTAAAACCTCATCATTTGTCCCTGTTTGCTGTGGAAAAAGTAGGACATTGCAGCCTGAATCAGATTTTTCCTGCTCAGGAAATTCATTAAAGCCATCGTGTTCCACAGAGTGCTTATGTACTATTTGGTCATTTGCAGAATTAGGTAATTCATCACTCAAGCTGTATCTCTGAAAGGCATTTTCTATTAAAGAATCCAGTTCTTCAGTCAGCTGCACATGAGGTGATAGGACCTTTTCTTTTTCTTCTTCAGAATTACTTTGTTCTGCAGTACTTTCCCCCATTCTTTCATTTGCAACAGATCTTTGTTGATTAACAAGAGCTAGTGATGATGCTACTGAATCAAAACCCAAGGTTTTTGAAGATGCCACTCCTTTGGCGTGGGTGGACAGCTCTAGCAGATAATCCATAGCGTTTTCTACTGTTGAATAAGGTAGAGAATAAAGCATGGTCAACCGAACAAACACAAGCTGATGTGAATGCAATTTCTTTACGTGAAGGAGTATTTATCACAACTAAAGAGACAACGAAAAGACAGTTCACCAATTCATCTTTTAACATGCCTTCTGCAACTCCCTTGATCTGTTTCTCATTAGAGGTAAAGGCAGAACTCAATACAGACATATTGCAAAATAATAACCTATTAAGCATAAAAATTACTAAGAAAATAGTCTCTAAAAATTATTAAGTTTAACTGGAAAAAAAGACAGAACTGGGTGTTTAAATGGACACTTATTTCTAACCTATCTCACACATAGGCGAAATAGTGTAAAATGAACTGAAAAACACTACTGAAGACTAAGAGATAAAAGTATGCAAAATATGTTCATTATGGCTAGGCCCAATGGAAAATGTCATACCTAATATAGCCTGAAAAATCCAGTATCTGCATTAATTCTTTGTAAAGCCACTAAATGGAGTATAGGTTGCCTGTGATCAACATGAACAAAACGAAAACCTGGCACAAGTATCATTTGAGCTCTAAAGCTAAGCTTCTGTTTTCCTGAAAGACAGTGTAGAAAAAAAGTCTAAGTCCATTGAAGTGCAACTCTTTCTGCACACATGCTAAGTAAAATCTTCCTTGTCCTTCCATCTTCTCTACTATATGAGCAACTTATTATTACTCATATGAAAAGATGCTAATCTTTCCATTTTTAAACTATTGTTAATAGTACAACACAATAATGAACTCAGTGTGTTCACTGAATTCTCCAATAAGCTTCTAGATAAATCTGTTATTTTGATAAAGGTAAATCTTATTAAGAGTTTAAAGCATGAATCAGTAATTCCATCAATTTCAATTTTAAAAGGAATAACGATCATAGCAATAAACATGAGAGTGCTATTACGTGATAAACTCTATACAATTTAGGTAAGGTAAAAACAGCTATAAAAGCAGTCCTTTTAATGGACCTAGCTTTCATACATATAAAAAAAAGCCAAACTCCGCTTTCTTTGCAAATAGTCTTAGAAAAATCTCAGCTAGTGACATCTGATCATATGAATACAGATTGATTAATATGCTCCATATATGACTTATTCTCCTGCCAAGTAACTCCTCAGATGTTGCTATCCAGTATCTCATCCATTACTTTTATTATAAGCGAATTAACTTGTATATAGAAGAATTTCAAAACCACAAAAGCATGGGAAGGACTGGGCACAGATACGAAAATAGTCTGTCAGGAGAGGTGGGTATGTAGCTTGGCAGAATACAGGGAGAGAAACACAGTCTAAGTGAGGCTGCAGAGAATTCAACATGACAAACAGAATTTATCCTGCAAAAACTAATCCTCAGTGGAGATGACAAGATGACTGCAAAACAGAAAGTAAAACAAAAGCTCAATTCAAGTACTCAAGGAAAAGCAAACACTGCCAGGACCACATACGGTGTACCATTGTCTTAAAAAATCATGATCTAGAACATAAAATACCCCTCCTGCAGAAACAGTTTATGCATCTAGCCGATATGGCACAGAAACTAATTGGAAAAAACAGATTCTCCTCACAACTCTACCACCGCCTGCTTTGTGTCACAGAACAAGCCACTTAAACTGTACCTCCACTTATGGAGCACACTGCTACTGCAAATTACCAGCCTCACAGAAACGTTGTCAAACTTGGAGAATCTTGCATGGAAAGAGCTATAAAATTTCAAAATATTATGACTCACCTACTCATTAAAAGCTAAACTCACAAATACACTTGCAACACCCACACCAACTTTTCTGGAGTTGCCCTAGTTAAGAGCTGTCTGCGTATGGAACAAAACTGCAATGCCAACTGTACATTATTTACCTTTAAAATCACATTCAGACAGAACCATATAAACCACACTAGGATCTAGGTCAGAAAACATTTCTGACATGCTGTTGAAGAGCTCTTCCTTATTGACACTATGCACTCCTGGTGACACTGAGCGGCTTGGGTCCCCTTGGAATACAGCAACAGCAGTTCTGTCAGAATTGCCATTCTTCCGAGAAGGACTCCCACCAGTTTTCCTTCTCCGTGGCATTTTGTTTTCTAAAAGTCAGGTTGCTTTTCGTTTTAGTTCGTTCACATGAGGCTGATAGCACCGAGCTCAGAAATCACAAAAAACCCTCTCATAACTGGGATACGCATAACAGATATAGCAGACCTGGAAAAAAGAGAACAAAGAAATTTTAAGAAAATATACAGTCACATTTCCATGTCTCCTATTTAGATAGCTAAAAGATAAAAAAAAAAAAAAAACCAAAAAAAACCAAACCCATAAGCATCCAGGAAAGCATTTTCTAGAAGGCTGCCTTTCTTTTCAAATGGCTGACAGCTACATAGCAGCCTTATTTTCCAACTAACTAGATATTAAATCTGTGTCTGGAAGAGAGAACAAATAAAATGGAGTTTAAAAGAAAAATCCAGAAAAGGAAAGGAAGCAATGTAAGGCAGCCAGTTCACAAATATTCCTCTGCTAAGACTGACTGATGACCATTTAACATTATGGAATGCTTATATTCTGTTAAAATTCAGAAATTTTGCTCCTCTTACAAAAGTACTGGAAAACATAACAGACATCTCCAAATCTTCCAGAAGTCCTTCATGACTTTCCGCCCCCCACTCCCACCCTGATTTTTTAAGAGTGAACAGTTGGGGTTCTTCAATGTTCAAACACTGGCATAGGTTGCCCAGAGAGGTTGTGGAGTCTCCAACCATGCAGATTCTCAAAACCTGACCAAACACGGCCCTGAGCAACCTGCTTCAGGTGACCCTCCTTGAGCAGGTGGGTTGAACCAGATGACATCCAGAAATGCCTTTCAACCTCAGCCTGTGTGGGTTTTTTTTTTAACTGTTAAAAACATTTTACAGCTTTATAAGCCATAAAGCAAGAAGAGGCTTCTTGCACCACCCCCCACTTCTGCCATAAAGCCTTTGAATACATCTAGTTAAAACATTATGGCATCTATAACTGCAATTACTGCACTAATCTATAGAAAAGGAAAGTGATTATTAATTGAAGTACAAGCACAGAGTATGGCATGATCTCACCTTCTTCTTTAGATGAAGTAACATCAAAGCTGTTGTGTTCCAGGGATGCTCATAATAAACTAATTTATAATTTTTACAAATAATTATTCAGAAGATTAGCAAACCTTGGTAAGGCTGAGAATCTGAAGTTAATTACAGCAGAGTCACTATTTAGTGATAACAGTTACTGAGTAGGCCATAAAATATCTGTTTCTATATAAAGATTATTTGCCAGTGATGAGCAATTCAACGTGTGCAGATAAATCAATGGCAGCACTTCCACGTTCACTTAGTCCTTCCCTCCCTGGATCACTGGCACACAAATGACGATGTCAGATTAGTGCCAGATTTGGACAGCACTTCTCCATTATTCTCTAGCAATCTCTTCCAGCAACCAAGAGAAGTATCAACTAGAAGAGCGTGGACTGTTACATTCCCAAGTCATAGAAATTTATGTAAGGAAAAACGGACAACTCTGGGATCCCAGGAGTTTCTACCATATGTATATGGACCTGAGACAGACAAACGAGACGGATGTCTGGAACAATGAAGGGGTCAAGGGAGTCTGAAATGCACGACAAGGAAAACAACACACAGGAAAAGGAAGAAGTGGACTTCCAAAAATAAAGGAGAAACAACAGTGGAAGATGCTAGTTAACCAGACTGAGCTAGGACAATCGCAGCTGTTTTTTTCATTACACTTTTTTTGGTTCACCTCTCTGATTAGCCATCCTTACACCATTCTTCACTGTCACAAAAAAAGTATTCAAGCAAAACAATTAAAAAAAAAGTTATAGCAAGTCATGTTTTTCAAACGCATATTTCTAATTGATTCATCCTCCAGCCAGTAAAACAGGTTGAGACCTAACTTCACACAACGTGTCAGTGCTAAAAAATGGGATTGCTCCTCACTAAAACAAGTTCAGTGACAAAGAAAAGATCCTGCAAGGGAGAAAGGTATTGACGCACCTTGATGTTACTGAGCACCAAGAGACTTTAAGCAGAACACTCCAAGTGTTGTCAACATTTTAATCTGATTCTATTATAATGATCAATCCTGCAAGGACCTGCTGCTGAAAAACCTGCTCTGTAGCTAGGACTTTTAACAATCAATTGCCTTACATTGGGAAGGGAATATCCTATAGTGAAGTATTTACTGCATTAGGCTGTATATCCCACTATATAGTAGGATGCCTTACTCTAATGACCTAACGAAGCCCCACGCTTCAGTCTGCATGAATCTCAATCAGCGAATTTACACTGCATCGCTTCAAGATTACTGAGGCCTGAACTGTTTATCACAATTAATCACAGAAAGGAAAAGAAGGCAGAAGGGGAAAAGACATCAGTCACCTCAGAACTTACACACAGGTCAAAACCTTGGTGGCTCCCACTACAGCCACATATGCTAAGGCAACGCACAGATCCACATTTTGTCCCATCTCTCCATCTAAAGTCTTAGTAAAATTGTAGAAATTGTTAAACCTATCAAAAAGATAGATCAGCATTGCCCAGGATTTCATTTAAATAAGGTATTTACCATGGCCAGTATCGCAGGCATGTTTTGACAGAATTTTGTTTGTTTACCACAATATTTTCAATTAAATTCCTGGACAGATTCCTGGGCATTACCTTCTGTTGATATTACCAAGCACAATAAAAGTATATAAAAATAGATGCCTGCACACATACAAAGCGCACTGTACTGTATTACATAAGAGATAACACTAAAATGCTCAACTGAAAGGAGTAATTTTAAGAGCACGCCCTGAACTTTACAGAGGATTTTATCTAGAGACTTGCCTTTTCAGATATTCAAGTTTCTCTTTTTGAAAATCAGTTTATTATGAAAGAGGAAATAATTTTGAATAACCCAATAGCCAGACTTTCAGGTCAGCTATATTCATTGGTTCCAGATAACATAGTATGAATCAGTCTGTAGTTTGTTGTGGATTAGGGTTCCCCCCCCCCCCCCAGATGAAAATGGACTTGTAATAACATAATAATTTAGAAGAGCAGGGCTGTGCTGAACACGCTGAAAGGGAATTCTAGACAATTAGCCAGAGGCTGCAATATACTTGGAGGTTCACTGGTCAGTTCTGGGTACTGCCGTTTGACACACATGCAATTAGAGCAAACAGCTGTTTCATTTCAGCACTGATGAAAAACAATACTCCTGTGGCAGTCTCAAGTTCACCTTTAAAAAGAAAGCAAATCTACGAGCACCTCTTCACTCATAGGTCTTCAGAAATACTCATCTCCTGACATTATGGATCTCCCAATTTAATTCAACTACCACAAACAAGCATATGTACAAAAATCTGCCCATATGAAAATTACCTTTCAAATTAAGCAATCTTACAAATAAAAGAGATATTAAGATACCGGCATTCTCTACAAAATAAGGTCATTTTCAAACCCTACCAACCTAGAAGAGAAAAAGTAGACTTGTCAGGTCAGGGCGCTTTAACATCATCGTCTTTCTAGCTGGCCAGAGTTCATTTCTGATGGTAGATTACGAGCCTCAGGTGTTGCCTGTTCCAGCACTGCTACCCCTAAGGAGCTAGATGGATGCATCACAGACATTCTGTAGGCACAGACACACGTAGCCAGAGATCAGCATCCATTACAGGAAAGCCAGTCACTACAGAAGCAGGCAGGCACCGACGTAACCAGCCTAACACAACACATTTGTCTTTTCTGTGTGACAGGCAGAACAATGAAGCCTAGAGAAGTGGCCGACCTGGCATAGCAAGAGGATGGACCAAGATCTCAAGTCTCAATCACAGCATCTTACTAACAATCAACTTTCCTTTCCAGTGAAAGGAAAACCAATCGTTTCATAAACTAGTTCTAAGAACGTGTTTATAATTCCCCAGGAAAAAGAAAGAAAGATGACCAATAAATACGAAGTGTCTGTCAGTTATAAAGAAGAGGAAAAACATGCAAGTTTTTCTTCCCCCCCCTCCATTTTTTGCACTCTCATAACTAAATTGATAAATTAATTGATGAAGCACTACAGTCTTAGGAAAATATATAAGAAAATTCTTCCATAAAGCATGGAGTGAATTTAAATCAAGGAATTCCCTTGCAGACGCATGTTCCAAAAGGTTCCATTTTATTTTCATTAATACAATTACCCATAGAAGAAATTAATCCAAAATAGTGGAAGTATAATAGTCATCCTGGTCAGACTCCTCACATTAAGGGGAAAAAAATGTAAAAACAAAAACAAAACAAAACCACGAACCAACAAAAAACCCAACCCTCCAGTCTCCAACATAGGTAAAGTAAATTGTAACTTTATTTCAACTTAATTATACGTTGTCCTTTGAAAAATTCAAAGTGTATTCCTTCTTATGACACATAATCTAAAGAATTCAAAATATTTAAACCATCCAAACAAAAAATCTGGGGGGGGGTGGGGGGGTGGGGTGTGTGTGTGTGTGGGAATACACAAGACCCTCCCCAACCAAATCTTTTATTTTTAAAAGATCTAAGATTTAATTTATGTTAGGAAATAATTGCTAACATAGACTTGTCATACGCAAGACATCACATTGCTAACCAGTACTGTTACATCAGCAAACTTGCTGTGAAGAATTCTCCTAGAACTCTGACAAAATTAAAAAAATCAGGCTACAAATGCATTTTCTAAAATTAAGCTAAAAGGCACGATTCATGTTTACACTGAGGCTACATTAAATTTGTCCAGCTAAACATCTTTTGTTTTCCATAGCAAAAGCTAGAAATTCCCCCCTGCTTTCTAAGAACTGCTATATATTGTTGAAAAACTATATTTCTACAAAATCAAACAAAAGCTACTATAAAACAATATTAGGCACCATCTAACTGTTCTAAAATTTCTGGAAAAGCAATATAAGTCTCAGGCCTGAGATGTGCATTATTGTTCCACTTTCAGTGTAATATGAAAATGCATATGCAGTTGCTGAATAAAGATCTGATTAAGGCCTGACACATCTCATACGTCTTTTACACTGGGATGTCTTC